CCACCATGAAGACTCACAAATTTCACGTTCGATCGTTCCATATTAAAAGTTGTTACCTTTGCCTCTAATGATTTCATTGCAGACCGTTCGACAAAATACTGGACAGACAAAACGATGATGACCAATGCAACAACTAGTATGATGACAAAAATAAGTGATGAAATAAAGAAAACCCACCACACCGCCTTTAAGTAGCAATATTCACCACTTTCTGATGCCTCATGCCAGAATGTACACTTTGTGCATTTCGACTTTTTCACTTCAACACAATTCTTCACCATTACCACGTCAACACAGGAAGTTTCATGAAGTATTTGACTGTCATCACATGACGTGCAAACAGTCTCAGAAACACAACTCGCACACCCAACACACTTCTTGCACTGATTTGTTTTGAATGTGAAATAACCATCAACACACTTTGCACACCCATTTTTAGTCACTTCAACACCACACCCAACAATATTGCTTCGCGACTCACACTCATTGTCAGACGTCAAAAAGTTGGTTGAGTTGCATGTCAGGCATATCTCTTTTGTGTTACATGTCGCACACTTCACATCACACTTGTTGCAATCTGTCCCATTTCTGTAATACCCATCTCTGCATTCTACACACCCACGTGTGATTGCTGAAATCTTGTTGCACACTTCAAGCAGTTCTTCATTTGTCACACACGCGTTGTTGCTCAAAAAGTACCCATCTTTACATGCAGTGCACTTTGTACTCTCTCCAAAACAACTCGAGCAATTTCCTCCACAGTCATCACAAATACCACTCTCGGCATTCAAAAATTTCCCGTCAATACATCGATAACACCCAAGTGATCCACTGATCGAGCAATTTGATTGTGTGGTTATACATTTATTGTTAACAATATCAACAATATATTTTTGTTCACATTCAATACACATTCCATTTTCAATTGTGATACATTTGTCAATTATTTGAGAGCACTTTCCATTCTCTTCTTCAATTTCATTTTTATTGCATTTCTTTTGTTTACAATTATTGTTTTCGATGTAATTTTCTATTACACATTTTTCTATGTGTTTTTTGGTGCAAATTACACTCTTTTGATATTTTAAATAACATGATTTACATTCTCCATCCTCATTATAATAACCAAAGTTGCATGAAATGACACTTTTTGTACTAACTATTGCTTCACTTTCATTTTTCTTAAAGCACTTTCCTTTTTTTAGTATATTTCCATACTCACATATTTCACACACTTCTAAATTTCTGCTCTTTTTAATACAAAAATCAATTGGTTTTTCACATATATTATTAGTGTTCATAACATAACCATTTTTACATTTTACACAAAAATTGTTACCTTTTAATTGGCAATTCGAATCTTCAACACATTTTCCATTTTCGTTAATATATTTTTTGATACACTTTTTGCAAACAGACCCATCTTTTGAGCTTTCACAAACTTCACAATATTTATCATAACAATTTGCACATTGTTTATTAACACTTACTCCACCAATTGTACAATCATTTTGAAATATACAAGAAAAAACATTATTTTTAAAAGTCCCCATCTTACACTTGATTTCACCCATTTGTATAAAAACATTGGAGGCAATTAATACCGATTTAGTCGAAGAAGTAATTGAAATTTCAAAATCTTTTTTGGATATCACGTTCAATACCAAACTATTAACTTGAACTAATGAAATCTTTGTATTTCCAATTATCAAAGTGTTTTCTTCATAAGATTTTTTTCCTTTGTGTTTTATTTTCATGGTTTCTTCTTGTGTGAAATTATCAGTATTTATAAGTATGTTCAGTGTTTTTATAGTTCCAATAGGAGTAATATAACAGTTATTATCTTCGCAAGGGCAGTAATTTTCATAATAATTATTGTTTCCATTATTTTTACTTTCGTTCAAATGACAGAATATTAAATTCGATTCACCATACCTTAATAATCTGCCATTTTGTAACAGTTTTAAACCATTTGGAATAGAATCATATTTGATCCCAATTGGACTGTATGCTATGTCACAGTCTAAGTTACAAGAAACAACATTTGTTGTCATTTGAAAGTAATTTGTAAAGAAAACAGGTAGATCCACAATTGACCGATCCAATGGAATTACAATACACTTTGACTTAATTGTTATATTAGATGAAGTTATTATACTCATTTTATCCATTTCAATTATCCCTTCTTCACAGAGGATATTTTTTGTTTTTAAATTGTTTCTAACTACATCACTTTTAATCACTATTTTTCCATTATTCGTTATAGAGATTATTGCACTGGATTCAAGAGTTGCATTCTCGCTCATACTAAATACTCCATCCGATACGGTCATATTTTTTGATATGAATGAAAAAGAATTATTTGTCATTTTCATTGAACTTTTATTTGTAATTTTCACAGAACAATCAAATTTGGTTTTTGCGTTGTCCATTATTAGATAATTAGAGTTTAGTTCAACTGCTATATATCCTCTAAATTCGCTTATTGTATTTCTTTTGAACACAACATTTGATGAAACTGATATCTCAAACGTGATTATCGACAAAAAGTAAGAATTGTCTTTAAACACGATAAAACTGGAAATTACAGCAAAATTTGATGTCATTTTTAATGAAGCGGAACCAATAATTGTTAATTTACTCTGCACAGCTATTAATACTTCATTAACTAAACAAACATCAGAAAAAACAAGTTTGGTCTTTTCAAGTGTTCCCGAAGGACATACAGAAAAAGTTGATTTAACAAATATCATTATTATTAAAAGATTCATCATTGTATATCTTTTAGATGTTGATTTATCAGTTTTAATTATTACAGAAGTGAACATGTTAATATTTCTTTGTTTAAATTGCTTTATAACATAATGATTGGTGCTTTTGATTAAAACTTTATATAAAACATATTATTATTTTGTTTCATTTCTTTTTATACAGAAAGGTAACTTTTTTTTCATATTTGTCTTGTTACATTAAAAATAAATAAATTATAGAATCAGTCTTTAAACGTTATCTAGTGAACAAAAAATAGCTTTAATTTGATGTAAACATCGGGCATTAGGTATGATGTAGAAAATATTTGAAACAATTGAGATAGCTTTTGGGATGGCTTCCCGAAATATTCCTTTTTAATAGTTCAAAAGGTACTAAATAACGTTTAAAGAATGAATGTATAATGTAAATATAATCTATAATAAAATAAAAAAACAATAACATTCATCACAAAAAGTGTGTTTTATTTTTATTTTTCACTTTCACAACCTAAAGCTATTTAAAAATATAAATAAAAATAAGCATAATTGTCCAAATTATTATATAATACCTTTTTACCATATAATATTTTTGAACTCAAATTGATTATCATTCAGTTTTATTTGAATTAAAATAAAATAAAATTTTAGGGGCAGGCTTTTCCCACCCTCATACCATCTTTTTTTAAAACAATTAAAAATGTGATATATAACAATTTCAACAATTTATATTTTTTAAAATTGTGATTTATACTTATTAACAATTCAATTTATCAGTACATTTTTACTTTGATTTTATACAATTTTTATTTTTGTATAAACTGAAAAATAACATATACCTTATGAAATGCAACAAATGAAATCAATTATAATAGACCAAAGGCTAAGTGATATGAATTATTTCTTTAATAATAAACTATAAACTAAGAATTAATAATAATAATATATAACAATATTTTATGTAAAATAGTAAGTCATACTGTTTGTGATCAAAACTCAGCTAATAAAACGCCGAAAAATCAAATAAAAATAATTCAAAATCAATTTATCTAAAAATAAATAAATACGTATTGGTTCTAAAATATATAAAATAAACACATATTTTAAAAATCCACGTATTGTTTATTTTTTCAATTTTATAGATAATTTAAAGAAAGCATAAATACTTTTTATTCACAATTAAATACAATGTCGTTTTCATCATCTCGACGTTCTCCGAGAAATAGTCAGAGTAGAATTGTAGAAACCGAAATCGAACGATTAAATCAGAGAACACAAGAAGCTATCCAACAACCCATTCAACAGCATTCTGAACATCAAAGATTTTTCTTTGAGTACATGGTAGATACACATGGAGGGTTTGACTCGTTGTTCAGATTTTTGGGTTTGAATCCTTTAGTATTTCTCGCTATCAGACCAGTCGTTAGTGATATCTATACTGTAAGAAGAGGAAGGAAAAGTTTTTCTACAATCCAGATGACAGATTGTTGTTGCTTTATCTATTTTTTCGTTACAACAAAATTGTACTAATTAGAAATCTTTGCATTCATTATATAAAAACAAACGAACAAATTGTTAGGGAAGTGAATGAAAGTGCTAAGCTGTTTAAAGTTGTCATGAAAGATTCGTTTATCATATTTAATAATGAAAATTTACAAGGAACAAATGTAAGTGCTATTGTTGATTGTACAATAACACCAACAAACGCTCCAAGTGGAAGTTTTTCTTCTAAGATGTCGTTCTACAGTGGTAAGTACAAGACGTATTGTATTAAAATTGAAGTTGTTGTTAACTCTGTTACTGGGACTGCATGTTTTGTTTCAGAAGGAGAACCAGGTGCTTCTCATGACATGAGATTGTTAAAAAACTTCTGATGATATTAACACCATGCTCAATGGTACTAAACTCATTGGCGACAAAGGTTATAAAGGAATTCAGTCTCTTATCCCCAATGGTTTTGTTCCAACAGAGTCTCCACTTTTGGAAAACAGATGTCTGGTTGAACGTTACTTTGGACGTCTCAAAACTGTTTATGCATTTGCCAGAGAGAAATACAACAAAGATACTGTAATATACGACGATCTAATAACTTTATGTTGTTGTTTCTGTAAAGTGGATATTGGAATCAACCCGCTTATCAACGTAGATCAGACAAATTATATAAATATTTTAGCAATTTTTGTGAATAAAATTGATGAAAGAAGAAAAAAGCACAGAGACAGCAACAGAGTTTATCGAAGAAGACAACAAGCTCAAATTTTTGCATCAGAAAAAGCAGAAAATCGGTCTCATTTATTTGAAGATGATCGTTATGATGGAGTAACAATATATACACCAGGTCAACTTGATGGTGATGAGACCCGGACGGAACCTTAACAATAAATGAACTGTTTTTGTTATTACAATTCGAATAATTTACTTAAAATAACAGGAATATTAAATGATCATAGGGTTATCATATTAAATTAAATAGATATCTAATTAATTGTTACAAAGTAAATAAGATCTAATCGTCTTAAGAAAAAACAAAACACAAACAAAATAAAAAGATTAAACTTAAAATAACAAAACAATTGAATATAAACCAGATATAATTTATGTTTTTGGAAATGAACTAATAGAATACTACTTATATTCGGGATATAACATTAATTTACAATCATTATTTATTCATTTTATTTAAATCTAGTCGATATGTTTGTTGCATTTAATATAAAGTTTTGATATTTAAGATATCTATTACTACATAAATAATGTTGAATATATTATATTAGCCTTTGGTCAAATAAATTGAAATTCAATTCCATAACAAATTTTAGTTGAACTACTACATATCATAAGTTCAATCGTCTATATTTTTTAAAGGACAATTTTGTTTATTGTGACCCACTTTTTTACAAACACTACATGTTCTCATGTGATCTATTTTCAATTCTTTATCTTGGTGTCTTGGTTTTTTAAAAGTATTGCATTTTCCACACAATCTACCATTTTTCTTGGACAAATTCCCGTATATTGCTGTCTGTGTGGTTCTTTTAAATTGGTACAAAAAGAACTTTGTCTTGAAACACTTGAAACTCTAGACGCAACAGTTGTTGTCATGGTTTTCAAAGTCGTATCAAGTGTTTCTTTTGTCTTTTTTGACTTATTTTTTGGTCGTTGGTTGTTCTCGGCAATTTCCAAAAAGAATAAAACCTATTTCTCACAAATTCATTTCTTTTAATCAATGGAACAACTTCATCCAAGTTATTATGAATATCATTGTGATTCGTTGGTTGTTGTTCTTTGTCGTTGATTTTGATAATCTTTTCATGAGTAGTGTTTTTATAAGAACTATCAATAAGAATATCTCTCGTGAAGACAGTAGTTGGGATAGGATAAATTAATCTTTTTGAACAGTATTAAATCATGTGAATGCACGGAATACGGTCAATATTAAAAATGGTACAAAAACATCTTGATATGGAGCAATCTCCATTCAATAATAAAGCTACTATCGTGTTAATGTTTCTATATAATTTACACATTTTATTCACCACTATAGCGGGGAGCAAAGGAAGCAGGTTTGGCAGAATTAATAATTCTTCAGTTTGTGTATCAAATATCAAATCTTGTCTTCCATTCAAGTCGAACCTTCTTCTATCAATGACAATTGTCGTGGCTAACTCAACAAGTGAAGCAATCTAATTTCCTTTTTGTTTGAAATATCCAAAATACTCTTTTATTCTGTTTGTAGTTTGTTTCTGTGTGTTCATCAAAACAACTGAAGGAAGCCAAGAATCTCTTTGCTCGATTAAATTTGTAATAACTTGGATTTTATCACTTTTTGTTATTTTAACTATTTTTTCAGTCTTTCTCAGTTCTTTGATTTCTTCCAAAGTTTCCAAATAAAACACCGCGTCATCATTTGTAAGGTCACCTCCAAGTTCTTTCGATTCTTCAAACATTTGTTGTGCTTCTTCCTTCTGAGCATCGGTTAAATCGTATCCACTCATATAAATTAATCTATTGATAAAGTCGACTTCTGATATTTTTCCACGAATCATTTCATCAAAATCAGAAACAATTGGAGAAGTCTTTCCTAATGATATTTGGAGATCTCTATGTATATGTCGAACACAGTGAAACAATTTAGAGAATAGGGAAACAATCTTGATTGCTTTCATTTGTGAAATACAACGATCACAAAAAACATTTTTTTTGTTTTTCAAAAAAATAAAAAGGTCAACAAATGAGAATGTAATTCTATTTCTCATTATAGCGAAAATTTAATATGCGTGTTGTTCCATTGATCCGAGAAATTTCCAACAACAAGTGGAAAATTAAAATGATCGGTTGTAGTAGTGTCATCGCTATATATTATTCCTGATGTATGATTAACATGTTTTGTGTTAAGTATAAAGCATGTTTCAAATTGTCCACTTGAATTTTAACTATATGAATGGAAAAATCATTCAAACCATCACAATAAATGGTCAATTTTTGGCTTCTTCAGTATTTCAAATATTGTATACATCTAGAGTAATTTTTTGATACGTTTAGTGTTAACTAAAAGTCCCATTCGTGAACAAATTTGGGCAGGACTCTTTCCATTTTTGGTGTATGTATACACTTCATCAATTTATTCTTTTGTAAAAGTATACTGAATATTACTTGGAAGGAATTCAAAAATATGGTTGTTTTTTTAATAAAAACAATTTCACATGCAATTCTATTGTCTTTTTGGAATTTGATATTGACAGAACAATTACACTTTGTTGAATAACACCCAAAGTATTGAATATGTTTGTTGACATCAATGTGTTTTGCTTTAAACAAAGAATATTGAACGCCACCGGCGCTGATGAGAGATGACTCCTTCATTTGTTCAGTGACAGTGTTAATCACAAATTTTGTTTTGCAAATATTATCAATAATTTGTGGTGGTGTGTCAATACCTTCAATACCTCTTATTTCATGTTTGATTAGAGGAATCATGTAATAATTTTTCAGTTTGATATTATAAATCTTTAAAATAATATATATTTTATAATTATATTAACACGTTTCCTTGTTTCCCTGTTAATTTTTTTATTAGGCAGTGTTATTTTTTTCTTTTTTTTTGTCGTTTGGTCTTTTAAAAAAGACTGTCATGTCTGTTTTATTTTTTCTTGACATTTTTCTGCACAAGGATATTACTCAAACTAACTAACAAATAAGAACTAGTTTAAATAAGATATTATATCGAAAATATAATTTTTATATTTTTTCGGGATTTAAGCAATAGAAACATCAAAAATCCCGAGACATATATTTTCAAACCGATAAAATTTTTAGTATTGGGCGATGTGCTTGGAGTATCCAAAACAGATTCACTATCAAGTACATTTCAACCACCTTTATTGTCATTGTTATTGAATATATAAATTAATATATACATTACATATAACAAACATGTTTGCTTATTGTTATAATACATTCTATAAC